CCCCAAAACCCCAAAACCCCAAAACCCCATGCAATATAGTAAACGTAATCTAAGAGAGTAGATTTTTTTAAAGTTGTGAATTTGTCAAAAATGATTGAGATGGTGATAAATTGTAATACTCATTCTTGATCAGGAGAGTAGGGAGTGAGATCGGAATATCCAAGAGCAGTGTTTCCATAAAGATATACCGCTTAGAGCTTTGATAGATCTTTTACGTTGTGGACTCCATTCAGTGGAGCTCCAGTTCTGAATCTATCTACGAGATTATTGTTGTAAACGTAAAAAGTACCGAATGAACAAAGATCGGTAATATTGTTTTCAATTAGATTAGTTGCCTTATCAAAGTCAAGTTAGTTGTTTCCGATAAAAGTGCCCTTAAATAAATGTCTGAAATTTTCTCTGATTGTTTTTTTCTCATGATTAGCCCATACTTTATCGATCTTCTCTTAAGCGTCTGCTGGATCCAAAGTGGTTGCCTCGTTTACTTCGACGAAAGCAATGCCTTTTTTGTTAAACTCTCCAAAAAGATATTCAATCAATGCAAATGGATCAGAATCAGCCAATCCATTGTAGTCACAGACTGGAGATAGCTTGATACCAACTCTATCAGCACCAAAGACTTCGATGAGCTCATCAAGTACTTCTAGGCAGAATCTAGCTCTGTTTTCAATAGAACCTCCATACTCATCATCTCTTTAATTGCAGCCATTTCTAAGGAATTAATCTACAAGATATCCATGAGCACCGTGTAATTGAACACCATCAAATCCTGCTTTCTTGGCATTTTCAGCTCCTTGCCTGAACACTTTGATCAACTCCTTAATCTCTTCAACAGTAACAGCCCTTGGAGTAACATGAGTTACTCTTCCGCTTTGAGTATGGACTGTGCCATTAATCGCTATTGCTGATGAAGATATAGGAGTTTAACCTCCAATATGATCTGGATGTGCTGCTCTTCCTGAGTGCCAAATCTAGAGATAAATTCTACCACCCTTAGCATGGACTTCATCAATTACTTTCTTCCATCCCTCTACTTACTCGTCTGAGTATATGCCAGTTGATCCTGGGAAGCAATTTCCATCTGGCCTTATTGCTGAGCATTCTGTTAAGATAAAAGCTGAATCAGCTCTGGCGCTGTAATAATCCTTGTGCAAATCAGTTGGTATTCCATTAGATGGATCACATCTACATCTCGTTAAAGCAGCCATTACAATTCTGTTGGGGAGCTCCAAATCTCCCATCTTATGTGGTGTAAATAATGCTTAGGATCTTTCTCTTTGATTTTCCATCTGATTTGATATAAATAAAAATAATTACGTGCATTCTCTTAAGTTTAGTATAGGTAATAATATTAAAAAATCTAAGAAACGGGTTTTTTTTCTCTCCAGAGAGTTAATTCTATATATCTAACTCATTCTCTTTACAAACATTTTTAACATTACGGGGTTTTGGGGTTTTGGGGTTTTGGGG